ATTAGAGAAATGTTATGTTGTCGAGCGAATTCATGTGACATAAAATTCCCCGCTGCCCCTGAGTCCAATAGCGCTGAGGTAGATATGTTATTACCCTCTATGGATAGTGTTATGGGTACTTTGATGGATGTACTGGAGTGATGTGCCTGAATGCAAGGACTCACCGCAGAGGGATTACGAAGAGGCGGTCTTGTGGGACAGGAGGCCCGGAGATGGCCGGCTTGGCCACAATAGAGACACAGACGTTGAGTGATTCGGCGCTCTCGCTCCTCTTGAGACAGGTGAGTGTATCCGAGCTGCATGGGTTCCACAGAAGAGGAGGAAGAAGACGTGATTGGAACTGAATGACTGGTAGGTATCGTTCTGGTAGGGCGACGAGAACGAATCAAATTGTCAATTTGAATAGCCAGTTCTATGAGTTGGTTGAGCGTTCTCCCCTCGTCTCTGCAAGCTAGTTTCGATTGGAGTTCAGGGCTAAGTCCCTTGCGGAAAAGCAGTTTCAAAGTGGTCTCAACCCAATCAGTCTGAGCGGCGAGGGTGCGAAATGACAAGGCGTACTCAGCTGCGGTATTTCTGCCCTGAGATAAGGCGAGCAATTGTTCATCCGCATCTTTACCTCCTTCAGGATGTTCAAATATTTCTCGGAAGCGTCGGAGAAAAGTACTGAATGTGGGGAAAGCTGATCCATCCTCCCTCCATACTGCCGTGGCCCACTCCAAAGCCTTCCCAGTTAGGAGTGAACCTACAAAAGAGATCTTGCTGATATCAGTGGTGTACATCGCAGGCTGTTGGTTGACAAACAAGGAGCACTGCAATAGAAATCCCTTACACTTCGTGGGGTTTCCGTTGAATTTGTCTGGAAGAGCCAGGCGAGGATTCAATGAGGGAGTGGAAGAGAATGACGTGTCCATGCTCGGCTGATTAAGCGCTGAGTCCGGAGATGAAAGGCGCATACTCCGCAGCGCGTTAACAAGCTCCTCAGATAGTGTTGTCAGTCGAGCCAGCTGGTGTTGATGAGCAGCGAGTTGATTTGCCTGAGCTGACATTTCCGTAGTAAGTTGAGCCAGAGCTGCTGGATCATGTAATGGCGAAGTCTTCTGTAACGAGACGTCAACAGAGTGAGGATCCATCTGCAGCTTTATTGAAATCGTAATCAAAAAGGCAAGGTCAGACACCAGTAAACACAACAGAGGAGAGAAGCCAAATCGTAGTCAGGGACGTGCAAAAAGGGTCGGGGCAGGCAGCAAACAATCAGTAGTCAAAGAACAATAGCAAGAGTTCAGGAATCAACAGAGAGGCCAGACACGGGAAGAAACGCTCAGAAATGTACACCGGGGCAATACAAGACTTCGCAATGAGGGAGAGTCTGAGAGCTGGTTAAATAGTCCACATAACGAGTGTCATGTGCAGGTTATCAGAATTTCATCTTACGTTTTGGGCATATAAATATCAGCAACTCCTCTAAATTACATATTTCTGTTCTTTTTTTGCCACCAGATTTTTTTCCTTCCTTGAGTATGAGCTCCATATTCTCACTATATTACACTATATGAATCATAAAAGCCATTACACAAAACATTAAAGACACATGCACATTTTTGTTTTGTTTTGAATTTTGTATTAAAGGTTCAAATAACTCTTCCATTTCAAAACAATTTATTCTTTGAAAGATTTTTTTTTTACAGGTTTAATAATATTGAATTCAGGAACGCTTGTCTGTGAAAACCCAGGATGCACCTGACCTTTGACCCGAAGGAAACTAGGGCACGGCCGTGACACAGTCTCTCCCACTTCAGCATGAGGCCAGCAGTTCAGATCATCCCATAAAGCACTGCAACCTGGAGGGGGAGTACAACAGTATTCAGAGCGAATCTGAACAGTGTGATAACTACAAGAGTATCTAATTATTGATCTACTAAAGGACTTAAATGTAAAAAATCCTGAATATTTTGTGTGCACACTTGTATATGTGTGAGTAGTGTTTTGCATTTGTATTTTGTGAATGTAATTTTGTTCTGCATTTGCAAATCATATTTTGTAAATATGAATTAGGTTATGAATGTATGAATTGCTGTTTGAGAATATATCAACTTTGAATTGTGAATGTGAATTATCTTACACATTTATGAATTTTATTTTGTAAATGCATTTATTTTGAGACTGTTCTGGTTCAATATTGGAAGAAGATTTACAGGCTACAATAGCAGTGTGATAAAACAATGACTTTTTGGATGACTATTAACTCAATGACTATTTGGATATTCCTTAACATTAACTTGTGCAGACCAATGTTGTTTGTTTCAGAGGGTATCATTTTACAAATTCCTAAGTTATAAAATCATGTTTTTAAAGCTTGAAATAAAATATTGTAACAGCCACATTGTGTACAATGACAGATTATCAAACCATACAGAGGCCTCTATCAAGTAGTTGTACTGGCAGTTGGTTGAACAAATGGCTAGTTGGTAAGTAATAACACCGCCTTCTAATTACATGCAGGTTTGGCTAGACCCCTGCATTTCTATGATGACAAATCCTAATGCAACGACATACAACTCGAGAGAACTGTGCTGCCAACCTGTTCTATGACTCCGTGCACAAAGCAAGGCCCATTAAAATGAGTTAAAACAACTTAAAATCAAATTATTTACAGATGAAAACATGGATGGATGAGGTAGCCTAGATTTAAAAGTGTTTAAAGTTTCTAGACCTGGAAAAGCCATGTCAATTTTTCATATTTATAATAAATGTATATTTTTCTAGCTATGCCAACACTGACAAAAAAATATAGGGTGTAAATAAAACAAAGATTATTGGAGTATGTAAATACTACACCAAATATTTCACAGTGATGGTCTAATACAGAAACTACTGTAAAGAAGAGGGGAAGCTATTAAAGTTGACTAAATATCAGTTAATGTTAATGTTAATGTAGGTGTCCATACAGGTGTCCTTATTTGTTATTGGATGAACTTTATGTCCCCAAATTAAGATTCATAAACTAGATCAATGTTATTAGCATTAATATAATATTATAGCTTTATTTCTATTTTTAAATCGTTTTTATTTTAATTTTAGCAAATTATTTTTTATCTCTCTCTCTCTCTCTTCCTCCCTCTCTCTCCTTTTGCCCCTTTTGCTGTCTCTCTCTCTCAGTCTGATGAATGACAGAAAAGGTTGTGTAGGGTTTGTAAATGTTTCTCTCGGTACTTTCTCTAATGAAATACGGAGAGGAGAGGTTGTGAGGAGCAAAAGAGATCTGTACAGCATTGTAATGTTATTGTGATGTGTCTGTGTTGACAGGCCTGTATTGACTGTTTCCTGTGTATGTAAAGGATGGACAATATTTTGAGGACAAAAGGATTTCTGCTAACAGAGTGAGAAACCTCAAGGCCTGTTCACACTGACAGTTTTATTGCCGGGGGTCTGAGAGCTTCCGACTGATGGAGGGTATTCCACAAAGCAGGTTATGTGAAAGTGAAGTTCACAGAAAAGGCTGTGTGTCCACCAAAGTGTTTTTTTGCCAGCTGAAAACGCCTAGCTGTGAGCATATGAGAGTGCTTCTGCTCCGCAGTGTTTTCAGCTGAGATGCTTTGGTTGCTATGATGCGGAATATCAGCTAAAGTAATATGACAGAAGCATCACGAGTGAAAAGTTTCTCCATGGATTATTTTTCATAACAATATTGTGGTAGTCCGGGACTTCCATCTGGTGAAGACATAAATACTCTGAGACAAGCAATGTTAAAGGGGTCGTTCACTGCGATTTCACTTTTTTAATGTTAGTTAGTGTCTAATGTTGCTGTTTGAGCATAAACAATATATGCAAAGTTACAAAGCTGAAAGTTCAATGTAAACGGAGATATCGTCTTTTAAAATTCTGGCAGTTTAATGCCTTCAAAAATGGCTGGTAGGGACTACAAGAGTTACTTCCCGGGGTTTGTGACATCACAAACCCAGATAAACCCCGCCCTCGGGAAAAGGCAGCAAAGGGGGCGAGGCCCCCAAAATCAACGTTCTAAAGCAGAGGTTTTTAATACTGTTCCTCGCGTCGCCTGCTCTGCATTGCTTTCTCTCTCTCTCTCTCTCTCTCTCTCTCTCCTTCAGCTCAGCTCCAGCAATGAACTG